CGAGGCCCCAGAACAGAGCCAGGCTCCTGCCCCGGGCCCGGCAGCAGGACCTGGTTGGTGCTGTGTGCCAGCCATGCTCTGTGCTCTCTGCCTTGTCCTGCTCCCACAGCACCGAGCTCGGGGCCGGCGTTTGCTCTGCCCTCCTTTGCCAGGCCTGGGCTCAGGGGCATCCCACACACCCTGTGTCATCTGGATTAGTCTCTTGACATCTCTGCTAAGGCTGCCAAAAGTAAGATTATTCACAAATGCGTGTCCAGGGAAGGACAATGGAACTGGGAAGGGGCTGGAGCAGCAGGAGGGGCTGAGGGAGCTGGGGGGGCTCAGCCTGGAGAAAAGGAGGCTCAGGGGGGACCTCTGGGCTCTGCAACCCCCTGACAGAGGGGAGCCGGGGGGGGGTCGGGCTCTGCTCCAGGGAACAAGGGACAGGAGGAGAGGGAACGGCCTCCAGCTGTGCCAGGGGAGGCTCAGGTTGGACATCAGGAGGAATTTCTCCCTGGAAAGGGTGGTCAGGCACTGGCAGGGCTGCCCAGGGAGGTTTGGAGTGCCCAGCCCTGGAGGTGTCCCAGGAAGGCCTGGCCGTGGCACTCAGTGCTCTGGGCTGGGGGACAAGGTGGGGATGGGGCACCTCATCAGGGTAGACTCGATGATCTTGGAGGTCTTTTCCAACCCTAATGGTTCCATGGTTCTGTGATGGTTCCATGATTTCAGTCCATTTGTTTGATAACAGCAGTCACACTGGTGGTAGGTCTCCCTTCCCAAAGTTTCCATACCACACCATCATTTTGAAGTCCTCTTTCTGAAGTGGTTTTACATTTTATCCCTAAAGAAGTTTTTTTTCTGAAGCTAACCCAAAATGCAGTTGTTTTCAAAGTGTGAGGATAACATACATAATTGTGACATTTTAAAACCCCTTGTAGCTGGAAAAAATTTCTTGCATAAATATCTTGTATGTCGGGAGTTTTAAAGTATAACCTCCATGTGCACTCTGAATGGTGCTTTAGTGGACTCCAAAGCCCACAGAAGATCCCTCTGCTGGCAGTGAGATTTTGGGTTGATGCACAGATCTGTCTGTGGCAATCCATTTGCAAGAGCATGACAGTTTTCACATATGGAAGTCGAAGTAAACATGGATTACAATATTTAAACTGTAGAAAGTTCTTTCTGAAAATGGGGAATTCACTATCCAGACCCCATATTCCATTCAGGGGAACAATAGTAACGGTTCTAATCAAAATACAGTGTTTTCTCTCCCAAGTACTAAACTAAGCCCCTTAGAAGCACATTTCTGATTTTTTTGCCCCAACTTTTAATGTTAACAGTGGTTTCTGTAAAAATAAGCATTCCCTCAGAGTATTGGCAGCCCAAACAGAGAAGCTGAAACTGAAGGTAAGGATAGTGACCCTATGAGGGTTTTTTTCTAACTTGAAAAAAATGACTAAAGTAAAGAGCACAAGTAGAAATAATGTAGGTTTTTAAACTGTTGATTCTTGGTGTTGGTAAAAGAGTAAGGAAGGATCTGTATAACAAGAGATTTAGTATTGCCTGTAGAGGAGGATAGTAGAGGTTGCAGCTTTTGGAATCTGTGTACTTCAAGTAACTAGCTGGGCTGATTTCCTCATTTCTGGTCACTCACTCTTGGGTGATTAGGTCAGGTTTCACTGGGAGGGGATGGATTTTGAGTGTCAGTGAGGAATATGGGTTTTTTTAGCCATCAGGAGGATATAAGGAGGCAGGTGGGAGAGTAAGTCTCTGGCTGGGAGCAGCACAATAGGAACTGAAGGGAAGCCAGACTGGCTCAGGGCTTTCTCTTACCTTTTCAACATTAGGAAGATGTCAGGAAATTAACTCTTGAAAGAGTGTACAAGGTGAATTCCACACTGGTTGGTATCTCAAGGAGTCCAGGAAAGAGGCAAAAATCATTGCTGCTTGCAGATCTGGAAAAGTGGGTAAAGCCAAGAAGGTGTTGGAAATGATTTGCCTCAGCTGTGAAAAAGATGTGTCACTTATCAGGAGCTGACAGTGGCAGTGTGTTCCCTCTGTAAAGCTGAGGCAGGAGGGGGGACTGTGCACAGCTCTGCCCTGAAAATGTGTTCATGGTGGAAGTGCTGAAAGTCTGGAGGAGATAAGTCTTCTAAATAATGATGGTTTTATGGATGAGGTCATGCTCTCCTCTCACCAAGGAAGGAGATGGAAAGAACTGGAGTGGAAAGAGTTGGCAAGGTCAGTCTGTCTTGTTGTCACAAGAGTGGCAGGAAGGAGGCCTCCAAACAAACCAGAGCCCCGGGAGTGAGGCAATCACCGTTTCTTCCTGCTCACATCAAATTCCTGTTCCAGGCATTTCCAAATAAGGGTGAGGAACTGAGCGCCACAACCGCAAGATGACAGTGCAAGGCTGTTAAAACCAACACTCCTTTTGCCTTCTTTTTAAAATAATCCATGTCCTGCCATGAATCAAAGTGCCTCTGTAACCTGCCATGCTCCAAAATAGACTGACAGGAACATATACAAATCCTCCTGGAAAAATAAATGACAAGAAAAGCTTTAGCTGGCAATTCCGGGGTAAGAACGATTGGCAAGTTGCACCATTGGCTCAACATGATTTTAATCATGGGCTACTTGTTCATCTCAAGGGAAAAGATGTCACCATGTGTCTCATGTGCAAGCACAAGGCACACAAAAAGCACATGGCAAAAGTAGTTTTTGTATAATGGTAACAGTAGAAAACAAACAAGAAAAGAGAACAAGGGGGCAAATTTCCTGGCTAAAATGAGTTAATCTGAGATCAGTGGAGCTTTACTAATCTGCACCAGCAAAATATCTACTTTGCCACCCTTACCCTGACAACCCTCCCCTTGAGCTTCCCACTATTACAGCAGCGATGAGCTGTAGAGTAGACCAAACCACTGTGCTGCTGAGGGCAAGGAGGAAAGGGCAGTTTTAGCCTGTCAGATGAGGGCAATGCTGTCAGGGTGGGAGCAGCTCAGAGTTTGCCGGTAGTTGAGCCCACTTATGCTTTGTAGACACTTCTAAATATTCGGGAAATCTTCAAGTGATGTTTTGTTTTCCAAAGCTATCTGGTGGCCTGAATGTCCCTACCCAACAATTAAACCAATAAATTCAGAGGCCAGTCTTTAAAGTTCAGAGCTGCAGATGCTGCCACTGGTGCATTATTCATGGGTTTGGTTTTTCCCTTTGATATCTCTCTATGGTGTGATCTGTATAGCAGAAAAGAGCCCACATCTGTCTGTTTACACCACCCTGGAAATTCCTGTGGGCAACCAAAAAAGTCGACCACAAATAACTGCTGGGCTACCAACAAACATAGTATCTGGAGTGCCTCCACCCACCTGCCATTGGGCAGATTCCTAAATCTCATTGGAAATGGGAAAAATCAGATCAGGGTGGGAGGGAGAAGTAGAGAGAGGGATGGGGGGAAGGACTAGTTTGAAAGACTAACCCAAAATTAGCAGAACTGCTATAGGATTGTTTTGGTTTTTTTTTTAAAGTAGAGTAAGTCACATGTGGGCCCTGAGCTGAGTGTCACATCATGGCACATGACTCGTTGTGGGGTTGGGGTGAACCCTTTAGAGTGGACAGGTTCTTCTGAGCTGTGTCTTGTTGAAAGGTGGACAGGAAACATCCTTTAAACCATCTGGAAAATTCATGAACAATTCTCCAGTGGGCTGCTGGGAGAGGCTGTATATTCTGGGTTTACCCAAGCCAGTGGGACCTCTGGTCATTCTTGATTTAAGTGCAGGATCTCTTTATGTTATTGTGGGTCTTGGAGAGAGTTACAATTTCCCTTGGTTTGGAAAGCTGCTCAGTGCTTCCAGTGATGAATTCCTAACCTAGACCTTCACTCACACAGGTATTACTTTTCATATCTGTATACCTGAACTACAGGGCTTGGATAACATTCTCATTATTAATGGAAGTAGTTATGGGCTTAAAAGCAGGCACCCACCAAGCTGGATCTCATCCTATGGCCCTTGCATCCTTGAGAGGTATGGGAATTATTCTGATTTATTAAGCTGATCCTACACTGTGCTGCTTGATTTGCAATGTTCAGTGAGCTTTGGCTGTTATTTGCCTCTCACTAGTATTCAATCACTGGCTGTTTCACTTTAACTTGATACGTGATTAAAGAAATAAAGCCAAGGTGCAGATGGTACAAAGATTTCATTGTCCATTAATATTTTTTCAGTCAGATGTTGCATCTATTTTTGAACCTTTAATTCTTGGTGAGGTAATTTCTTCCTGGTGCAGATCATCTCATGTGCTGGACTGTACCACACCGATGTTGACTTGTCCACTTGGAAGTCTGTTGCTCTTAGAGCTTTTATTTCCTGAATCTGGGGAACAGTTTTCCCCCTTCTAATTGTGTTCAATTTTCTGAGAAATACTTTTTTTTTTTTTAATAATTTTGAAAAGTGGCATGTCATAATCATTTTCTATGAGGAGACATTGACACTTACTAGGATGCTGTGGCCAGGTGGCCACACTGTTCACATCCTGGACTCCTTGAAAATGAAAAACAAAAAATGTGAACCCTTTTTTTTTTTAATGTAAAGGGTTTTTTTCATCTTTCTCTTAAACCAGAAACTTGGATATTTGATTTTTTTTGTTTTGTTTAGCTTTTAACTACTAAACCCTTTATTTAGCCAGCTGAAAGTGTAACCAGATTTGGGGTTGGGGGGCCTTTTTGGCTATTCCCGACTCTCTCCCTTGTCCTGTTGCGGCAGATGGCCGCAGTTCCTCCGTTCCGTGCTAATCCGAGGTGGTGCTGGGGTCTCTGGCAGGTTCCCAATGCAGGTCTCAGATGACTTGAGTCCTTCCCGTGGGTCCCTGGGCAGGCTGTTGAGCAATGGCATTCTCTGGTGGCAGTCACCTGTGCAGTGAGCAAACGGAGCCCGCCGATGTCCTGCGCCGGGAACGCATGGCTGGCCTCGCTGTGTCAACAACCCCGCACGTCCGCAGGGGCACAAATGCCAGCAGGGTTCTCCAACTGCACTGACTGATAAACCGGGTGCTTTATTACTTGTTTCTACCTTGAGTGGCGAGATTAAACTGAATTTAAAAGACTAGCATAAGAGGAGAAGGCAGACAGGTAAGCACAGAGTGATTGTTTGTGTGTTCATTGTAAATGTGTTCATTTTGAGGCTGGGGGCTGGAAAGGGAGACCAGCAGAGGACAGTGAATTGCATTTAGATCTTTTCTTTTCCCACTGACTAAGGGAAGGTTGCTCATGAAGATAAGTTTCTCATCAATAACTTTTGCCAGCCTGTGACATACGTTACTGATCCTTCTCAGATCTGCGTGCCCAAGCAGAGTGTTTGTGCAATGAGATGTTGAGTAACACTCTCCTGAAAACTGGGAGATCTTTGATTATGCAGTGTACTGTGAAGTCAGTAGTGTAATGAGTCTTTTTTTTAATTTTTTTCCCCTCCCTTTTCAAAACACGTGGATAAATGTTTTGTAAAGCTCTGAAAGCTCCTTGTCACTCTAGGCCCTTGTAAATAGAGACTCTCTTTCTCACAGGCTCCCTTCAGGCCCTGGAAGGCCACAATTCAGTCACCCCAAAGCTTCTCTTTCCAGGCTGAACAATCCCAACTGTCCCAGCCTTTCCTCCCAGCAGAGCTGTTCCATCCCTCTGATCATCTTGGTGCCTCCTCTGGACTGGCTCCAACATCTCCATGTCCTTGCTGTGCTGTTCCCCAGGGCTGGAGCAGCTCTGCAGGGGGGTCTCACCTGAGGGGCAGAGGGGCAGAATCACCTCCCTGCCCTGCTGCCCACACTGGGGGATCAACCCAGCACATGGGGGGTTTCTGGGATGGGGCATGTCCAGACTGTCACCCACCAGCCCCCCAAAATCCTTCTCAGGGCTGCTTTGGATAAGACTATCCTGAGATAAATTTAATGGCCACCGGGTGGGTTGGGACCTCCGAGAGGGAGAAGCCCAGCATTCCTGCCTGGCTCCCACGAGGGTGGAGTGGCAGCACTGGCTGCTGGGAACAGAGCGCAGATCCCAGTGTGCTTTTCAGGGTTTCCCAGTATTATTCAGTGTGGATGAATGACCACCCTTTGCTTTGTCATCAGGGAATATTTATGACCGTCGGAGCAGGGCTGGGTTCCTGGAGACGGGATAACACGTGGCTTTGTGCTGCCAGACAGAGAGTTCCTTTCGGTGGTCACACCAATGTTTGTTCATACTCCCACGGACACCACAACTTTTTTGGATAAGGAAGAAGATGATGGAACACAGATGAGGGAAAGAAATGGCCTCAGAGAACTTGGATACGTGGGGGTATTTTTACCCTTTGGGGTTTTTTCTTCCTGAATTTCAATGAGTGACTTATTGGAAACTTCTTTGGGTTTGAAGTGCTTTTTTTTTCTTGTTCCACACACACAAAACTGTTTTGGGTTGTTTTGTTTGTCTTCATTTATAATGCAGCTGAGATAGGGTGACTTGATATTTTTAAAATAGAAAACTGATGCCTTCTGAGGGAATGGGGGGAAGAGAGGAGGATTTTACTAGCTGGAAGCATGGGTCATGCCAAGGACAGCTTGTTGCTGTGAAGGGTGTGCTGGAGATGGGGGGGAGGATTATGTGGAAGCTGGTACGGAGAGAAGAGCAGTGCTCTTTCTCCTTGAGTGCCAAATCCACTGATAGTTCTCTTCCTCCACCACAGTCACATATCTCCTTTTATTTATTACCCTTATTTTTACCTCTTTCTTTTAAGGCAAATTCTAGATGAAACTTTTCCAACCCATGACATTAGTGACTATCAGGCACTGAATGCCAAGCAGATGCCTTCTGTTTCCCTCACTGCTGTCCTGCTATCTGCTGTCATTCCATAAAAACAAACCTAAAAGAGAAAAATATCCTATTGGTGAGGTAATAAAGTGAATGGCATTATAAATTCCATGCTGTGAATTGCTGAGCTGGAGAACCCTCACAGAAAATGCTCAGCATCTTGTCCCTTCTTGTTTTGATCAGTACTGGAACCTGTGAGGCACTGGGAGCTTAGGAGCATCTTTTGGAGCCTGCTACAGGCTGGAGGCTGCCCAGCACACCCTGGAGTAACAGCAAGTTGTCAGAGAAAGAAGTTGTCAGTGAGTTGTCCAGCGTGTTGTGGAGCAGGAGGACGATTTGCCAATGACTGAGTGTCTTCCAGGGATTCCTGATCCAATGGTCAGGGTGAGTCTCCACAAAAGGCCTGTTGCTTCCTCCTTGTGCCTGTTGGGAAAAGCACGGTGCTGTTTTCTGTGTTGTGCAGTTCAGGTCATGAACAGCATGAGGAAGATGTTCCTTTCTAAACCATCACCCCTGGGAGAACGTCACAGTTGGAAAAGAATATTTCCTCAGCATTTCTATGTCTATAATAAAAAGAATGTGCAAATGTTAATATTGACAAGTGATCACTGTAGAGTCTCTTCGATGGTAATACTCTTTTCCTTCTCTGCTGTCATGGCCATTCCACAGCTCCCTGAGTTTTCTATGGGAACTATTCCGACTGGAGACAGGCAAGAGAAATTAATGAAATAAATTCTGTTCTAAGATTACTGAATCTTAGAGATTCAGTAATGGTGCTGGTGGGGTTCAAACACAAATTTTTGCTGGCTCCTGCTGGGGGACTGAGAGAGAAGGAGAAGGTGGCATAGATTTTACATATCCATTATCACCTAATTTTGATTTTGTTGTTCCAAAAAAAGTTGAGATTTCACATCTTTTGAGAAGTTTAGCAAAGGTACACTTTGTGCACAGGCACTTCAAACATCAGCAGATGCTGAGAGCGCCAGGCAATAATGTTGGACAGGGCACTATTACAGTCATTCTTTCTACCACTTCCTCTCAAACTGATGTAAACAGTCCTTTCCCTTGGGAAAGGGAGAGCGCTGAGCTCGAGTGATCAATATGTGGTTTTGCTGTGGTTACTCGGGAAACTTCATCCCTGAAATCTTTTTTAATCACAAGTTTTCTGGCAGCATTTGACAGGATCCAGCTTTTCACTTCTGATCTACTGTAAGTTATGGAATCTGGCTAATAGGAACAAATCTGGATGAGCTGGTTTATGGAACAATAAACACAGGTATGCATGTTTGTGAAAATTAAGACATTTTTAAAAGATAAATAACAACTGTTTTTAAAATAGTGATTAATTTTAGATTTTTAGATGTGCTATAGACTTCCATATTCATTTATTGCTCTATACAAACATTTTTCATGTTTTGCTTTTTCCCTCAGCAGTTTTAGCAGATGTATGGAGGCTGGATTTGATGGCTTCTGGCACATCAGGCTCTCACTCAGGAAGCCCCTGAGCGAGGCAGCGCCGTGTGAACACGAGGTGCAGCAGCTGTTTCAGGGTGATCAGTGCCAGGACACACTGGTGTGCAGTTCCTGGACTGTACTTGTGCTGTGTGCTCTGCAGCTGCAGACACATCACGGGGGAGGCTGTGGAGGGCACACGCCTGGGGTTTATTTCCCCCGACACAGTAACAGCCAGCTGCCTTTGCCTGCATCCCTCCCATACAGGCTTTCATTTTCCATGTTCTCAGCTATCCCAAATTAAAGGTGAAAGCTCTGGGGTTTTTTTCCCTGGAACTGAAGTCCTGCTAAGATCTATTTGCAGAGGTCCCCCCGGGAGCCCCCGCAGCTCGTTCCTGTGGTGGGGGTTGCTGGGTGCCAGGTGAGTGTGGGCTCCCAGACCACCCTGGGAAGGGCTCCTGAACCACAGGTACCTTCCAGACACCACTGCCCAGGTGAGACTTCCCCGCCATGCTGCCAGATTTGCAGGCTTGGCAGGCAGATGGCGAGGCATGTCGTGTTCAGGGGAGGTGGGGAGGTCTGTGGGGTTGTGTTCATGGGACTGGGAGGGGGCTCTCAGTGCTGGGAGCGTGGTGGGAGGTGCTCCTGGGCCTCCATCCACGTCTGAGGGGGGGTTAGGGCTGGTGAGACCGAACATGGGGCTTGTTGGAGGTAAGAGCTGGTGTTTTCTAATGGTATTGAGAGCAATTTTAATGGTGAGTGCAAACACTGTATACAGGTACAAAATAATAACACCAGTTGGAAGGCACAATAGCCTTGTGGTTCCCACAATGGATAGAGATCAGGAGTTCTTGAATCAGTTTTTGGCTTTGCCACAGGCTTCCTGTATTACTTTTCAGGCAGTCACTTAATCTTTGCATCCACCGTCTGTGAAACAGCCAGGCTTGGAACAGTTAGGCTTTGGAAGCATGTGTCTAATTCAGCTGTTATTATGGAAGTTAAATATTAAGGACCTGTTACATTATCATAGGATAAAACCACACCACATCTATTTTCACTGTGAACTTTGTTCTTTTGCTGTTACATTGTTTTCCAGGAAAAACAACATTTTCACTGCATAAAAATAAGCAGAAATTCACGATGCATGACATGAGAGCTGTATTTGTGGACTTCATGTCTGACACTAAAATACGAGGCTCATGTTAAATGCCCCTGGGAAGACTTCAGAGCTGATTGTTCAATAAAATGAAGCACAGGTCTGGGCATTCATTGAAAGTAAACAAATGATAAAAGACTTTGTAGAGATCAGCTCCCCAAAGCTGTTTGGAAAGTTCCATAGCCTGTGTCTAACTCCTCATTCCCTTGTTGACAGGGATGCTGCTCTGAGCCCGTTGTTCAAATTTCCACCAATATTCTGTGTCAGAGAAGGAAATAACTTAGATAAGATCAATTTTCAAACATGTTTCTTCAGGAAGGAACTAAAGAGCACTCCTGAAAACTACCTCCTGGAATGTAAAAATTCTGATCTTCGGGAAAGTAAAGGAACTGCTGTGTGAGATGAAAAATGTCAATATATTTGGAGGACAGGTGAGTTTGTTTGCCAAACTTGACTCATTTGCAGACTCCAAGTGTGTCTTTATCTGTGCCCGGTGAGTTTGTGAGGAGGTGCCCCCAGCTGTAGGCAGCACTGGTGAATGTCACTATGACTGACACTCCTCACAGGGTGGAACATGGGAGCTCCCTGGGACGCCTGGCAATTTGTCCGTGTGGGGGGAGGATGACAGAGACTTCTGAAAAGGATGGGTTTAACTCTGTTTGTCAGTGTTCACTGATGCTGTGGGAAGTGGTAATTAGCTAGCTGAAGTGTGCAGGGGTACATCTCCCCTGCGGGTGCTCTGCAGCACAGTCCCACACACCCAAAGGAGCAGTGATGCCATGGGGCCGTACACGTGCCCTGCAAAACCAGCAGTTCCCTGAGCACACCCTGTGAGTGTCCTTGTTCTAACTGTGGAGAAATTTCACACATAAAGGCAGCTTCTGAGGGGTGGAACCCTGAGAGCCACGTCTCACCCCTCCCCAGCCCTAAGAAAGCAGCACGGGTGTAATAATGGCCCATAGGCTTTTACAGAATTCCAAATACTTCACCTGTGTTGTGTCTACTTTGTCACGTGCACTGATGTGTCATCCCTGAAATATCCTGCCTCAGCTATGTCAGCTTGCACTCTGGAATTTTCTGGGGCGAAACACTTGTTAGGAAAAGGCATCACCTTTTTTTCTCCACTAAGTATTTAATATGCTCCACCGGCTATTTCAGACTGGTGGTGAACAACTCCAAAGTCATGTTTTGGTGAACTTCTGCTCCAATACCTATAAGGTAGGACTCTTTCCAAGAACTCCAGTAAGCGTGCCTAGAACCTCCAAATCAGGGAAGTATTCAGTTGGAAAATCACTCACCTTTACTGGAAAAATCATAATTCATGTTTTTTGGATGACCTTTTATAAGTTACAAGCCTCAAAACCAGAGAGCCCCTGCAGCTGCTGAAAGAGCTGCACATCTGCCTGGTTGGGCTCTCGGATGGTTTGGCACAGCTCAGGCAACACAGAGCTGTGCTCCAAGGCATCTCTGTGCCCCTGCCCTGTCTGCTGGGACACATGGGCTTGGTGATGTCTTAAACCTACCCTGAATTACCCGTGTGCCTTGCTGCAGTAGCATCTTCCACAACATCTGCTGGGCTCCTTCTGCAAGCAGAGGTGGTATCTGGTGTCCCTGGGGTTGATCAGCAGACCTGGCTGCTGCCTGGATCACTCTGTGAGCTCTGAAATGCTTGGGATGCTTTTGCTTCCTTTCAGTGAAATTGTCAGGAAGGAGGCACTGCTAAAAAGGAGGCGTAATTGAAATTTAAAGCTTTGGCTGGAGGTCTGCTACACTGCAGGGCTTCATGCACAGTGGCAGACCTTCAGCCACACAGAGCCCTGTACCAAGGGGCACTGAGGTCCCTCCTGCAGGAATCCCATTGCCAGGAGCAGTTTGACTTGTGCAGGAACCTCACAGAGGAGTGGCAGAAGTCACCTCTTGGAAGGGCCAACTGGACTTTCTGTGAGAGTAGTGTAGCACACTGTGGAAGTACGTGTTATAATGGACCATGTGTGACCTAAAAGATCCTTTCTACCCATTTTCTGTGATGCATGTACCGAACCATAAATACCCCATGACACTAAATCCACACTACCAGGCAAAAGGCTACATTCGAAATTGCTTATTTGATGATCAAACAACTTCTGTGCCTGATAGTGTCCCTGACAGTGAAAGGCAACAGAATAACTTAATTAAAAAGCTAAAACAAAGCACTAATAATACATGTTATCTCACCAAAACCACAGTCATCTCCCCTGCAGCTGTAGGATTTGCCAAAAAAATAAAAAACCATAGAATAATAGATTAGAAATGCTTTCCAGGCTTCCAGCTTTAGGCAATGCATTACCAAAATATGATTCTTAATAGGAATATTGTGAGGAGCATCATCATTTAGGAACCGTGCCAGCAGGCACTGGATTAATCTTTTTTTTGTTGTTATCAATGCAGGCTGGCAGTACTTCTCTCCAGATGTACCATTTGGCACATTAAACAGTTCTTTTCTTAGAAGGGAAACCTATGGTTTTGCCATGTAATGCAAAACACCAATGGAATCACTACATAAGCAAAATGCCAGTAATGGTACAGTGGTCCAGCCACAAACATTGGTATGTTAATTTTGTTTTATTTTTCCCAGTGTGTCATCTGTAGTGCTGTATTTTGTACCAGGACTATGGCTGGGCAATTTAGTATCAGATTTTAAAGTGTGTTTTCAGTGAGAGGTTTAAACTAGGAAACTAATGGTTGGGGTTTTTTTCCTACTTAATATGAATCTAGCTATCATTTTAGATTGATTTTAGAGACGAGGCCAAATTTCCCCCTCAATTATAGCTGTTCTACCTTCCAGCTGTATGCATGCACTTTTGGTAATGGTATTCAAATACACTGGCAAGCAAGTGGGCTGTGGCTTATACTTGCCATTGCTTCCTAAGTTAACTAGACCTTCAATTAAAATTCTGATTTATTAGTAAGAAGGTTAATATAATTATAGCATATTTGGTTTGTATATGGAAGGCAGTGACTGGCCTTCTGTGCTGTCTTAGTTCTCTCATGGATCATCACCAGTCCTTGCAGAGGCAGCTGTATTAGCTCTTATGTGGCATTTGTTGTATTCCAAATTACTTTCTGAATTTGTTCTATCCTATTGACATTGTATGGAAAGGAAAAAAGTTGCAAAACTACTTGTTTTCAGTCCCTCTGTGTTTCTGGGAGCAGCAGAAGTTGGGAGGGGTGACATAAGGAGGGGTTTTCTCTGTGTCCCTCTGGGTTTGCATGCTAAAGCAGAACATGAGTTGTTCCTTTTTACACTTGACTTTTCTAGATGAGGATGGGGTTTAACCTACCATTTCTTGTGTAGACCTTGCTCAGGGCATCCAAGGTGTTTGGCCTAAGCTGGCTCGCTTTTAGACACTTCTTTTGTGAGTTGGCTTTTGTTTTCTCACCCCTCCTACGTCAAGGTATCACAGAGCATGTTCCTCTTTCCTGCCACTGTTGCCCTGCTGTAACAGGTCTGATGCCATGAGCCTTGTTTCTGGTTTAGAAGGCACTTGTGGCCCTGCTCTCTCATCAACTAGCCCAAACCACAGTGGGTGCTAGGCTGCATTCCAAGGAGTGAGTGCATGCCCTGCACTCCTTGGGGCAGTCCTGCTTCTTACCACGTTAGACCTGAGGGCTGGTCATTGGGAAGTGTCTCCAGATGGTCAGTTAGAGAGTCAGGATGGTAAGAAATGCTTTTTCACCTTGCACAAATGGTGACATTAGTGTAATTTGCTTGTCTGGTGAAGGACAGCAAAGAAGGAAGGACATGCCTCACTTCACTGTGCCACTATACACTGACTATTGATGTGTATTACAGAGTTTGTTCCCACTGACAGGCCTACCCTTTCCCATCTGAAGGTTTTTGAAGGATATCTGCACTTCATGTGTAACATTTTATTTCCCACTCCCTGTATGAAAAGGTGCAGCACTTCCTATGGGATGAACAGCAGGAGAACTGCCTTCCTCCTGGCTCTGGGGCCAAGGGAGAAAAAGGAGCTTGGCTGGGCAAGGAACACATTTTTCCTTAGCTGGGCTGCTCTTTGCACCAGGGACAGGTTGTCACCTTGGGGAGAGAGCTGTGACACACTGCCCAGCCTGGCTGCCCAGCCCCACTCCTGGCTTGGGTCCCCTGGGATTTTTCTGTTTGTTGTAACAAATAGCCTGTAATTCAAGCTCTCTGTAGGTGGGGTCAGATTCTGCTCCATAGTTTCGGTAGATAGCAGGTTTCTTTCTACTTAATATGACAGGTGTTTAGTTTTTAACTGACTCCTGCCATTCACCAGAAGTCTCACCTTTCCTCCTCCCAAGTTAAACATGTCAGTTCTGGCTTTTGCCTGTCCACACAGTGAGAAAATGACAATTTCTGATTACCCCCTTCCCTCTAAAAAGCAGTGGAAGATGAATAGTTTAAAAAAAAAAAAAAAAAAAAAGAAGGTGATTTCTCTCCAAGATTCTGCCTAAATTGGGTGGTGTGGCCTTTCCAGTTTGATTAACTCAGTAATTAAAAATGACCAGGTGAGGCAAGGCAGTCACTTTCTTCTGGTTTGGTTTCTTCTGTCCCATGAAAGCTAGGAAATAATGCAAGGAAGGCACTTAGTTGTGAGAACACTTTCCCTCTCCTGTTGGTTCAGTTCCTAAAATCTAATCATGTTTTAAACCCCCAAGAAGAGGAACAAGCAAAGTGTCATTATTTCCCTTCTGGAGGATTTCTGCAAGGAAGCTGATCCTCACTCCCGGTCTGCCACAGAGTAAAAAGGACAGTGCTAATTCTGTGCCCTGTTTTCCTTTTTCTGTTCTAATTGTGTCTTTTCTCTCTGAAGCAGAAGAGTTGGGGCAGAACAGGGCTGTGAGTGTTTGCAGCTGCCCTTGGAGCTGGAGTGGAGGGAGTCCCCCCTGTGCTGCCCAGAGCTCAGCACAAAGGGATGTGCAAGGTAAACTGCTTTTAAAAAGTCACTGGCTGGGCCTTTCAAATCATGTTTAGGGTTCTCTCACTCCCATTTGCATTGCAGAAAGTGATCCCCTCCTATCTGTAGGGTGCCTGGGGTGTGGGGTCTGAGATTACTGTGGGACTCTTTCTTCTGTAAGGCAAATCTGTTAAATACAGTGAAAGTGTGAAGTGGGGTGTGAATGTGACTCACAGCCCTGGCACTGCTTTACTCACCAGACTGCTATGAGCAAGTGTCCACCAAAGAAACGTGGATTGGGCAATCAGCCTGTGTAAGATGGCACACCAGCTACTCTGCATGTTTGCTGTATTTTCATAAGACTTGGGTAACTGAACTTCACATACTCTCCATTCCAAAGTTCATTCCATTTCTTAGTACTTTTCAGCTAGAGGTGAATTTTCACACCTGGCTGTCATCCAAATTGCATGCTGAAGGCATTTTTGAGGAAACTTGAAGTTTTAGAGT